TAATAACTCCAAAGGAGCTAAATAAATTTGTTTTTTTTTTTCTCCTCTAATATTTTCATGTAAATCAATCTCTCTTGCCTCCTCCAACCTCCTTCATTGTTTTCGTTTCTCATTTGTAAAAATTTCCAATTTGTCTCTGCTGTCCTGGCAAACAAATCTAAAATACAGACTCTGATAGTTCCCGACTGTGTCCAGGCAGCTCCAGGGTGGGAGGCCAAGGAGTTATTCCGTGAATTCATGCAGGGAAGACAGGAGACGTGGAACTCCACCAGGCTGGGTGAGGACCCGTCCACCCGGGGGCGTCTGGCACCTGGGTCATGCTGGGGTGTGTGTGGGGGGTGCTGTGACAGGAAATGATTGATTTTGTTGCCAACATCAGGGGACAAGGATGTGCCCTCCAACACCCTGTGTTCTTTTAATGACCCATTAGAAATCTGCCATCCTTCACTTTAAATCTTTCTGAGGCTAATTTTACTTTTAGCAAATAGGACCTGAGTTCAATGATTTTACAACCTTTCTCCTGGGCTCCCCACCTGGAGGAGGCAGAGCAAGGGCTTCACCAGACAGCTCAGCCCATGGCTTCTGGACCTGCCTCCCTTCTCCTGGGCATTTTTGGCAGAATCAGAGTCACTGGGAAAGTGTTACGACCCCCGTGATTCATGTCCCTCATACACATGCTCTCCAGTTCTCTGTCATTTTTTGCTGTCTATTCTTGAAATTTTTTATCTGCAGGATAGTTTTAGGACTATTGTTTTACTTGGAGAATCCACATAAATAAAAATTGAGACAATTCCAGTGGATTTTGTGTTTGATTTTTTGTTTCTCTTGGGATTACTTATGTAACTTTTTTTGGGGGGGGGTGGATACCGGGATTGAACTCAGGGGCACTCAAGCACTGAGCCACATCCCTAGCCCTGTTTTGAATTTTATTTAGAGACAGGGTCTCACTGAGTTGCTTAGCACCTTGCCATTGCTGAGGGCTGGCTTTGAACCCGCGATCCTCCTTTCTCAGCCTCCTGAGCTGCTGGGATTACAGGCGTGCACCACCGTGCCCGCTTACTCATTTGATTTTGAAGGTCTCAAAAACAATGCTACAGTCAACCTGGAACTTCCCCCCTCTGCTAACAGCTCTGGGTTCGTACACGGAGAGTAATGTCTAATGCTTCTATAGACTAGAAAGACCACTGAGACCTAGATTTCACCTACCCCAACCTCTTCTTTCTCTGTCGCTGACTCTCTGACTGTATCTGCCCTTCCTGGGAAAGCCATGCTTCTTATGTCTCCATGCCTCTGGTCCCACTGTTCCCTTCACATAGAGTCACTCTGGCCACCTGTCAATAGTTCAAAGTTCAACTTCTCCATGAAGTCCTACGGCAGATTCTTCCACCTCCCATAAGTCAGCCCTTGAACTGTAATCTCATGCACCACTGCTCACACCTTTACTTTAATGGGTCTTGGAATTCAGCATGATTATTTATTTACAGTCCTTTCTTCCTATGTAGACCACCAGTTCTTCCAGAGCAGGGACCATGTCTTCTTACGTATAGCAAACTAGCACGCTCTGGACGTGAGGAGTAATGGGCTAATGTTTGTTACGATCATGAATGAGTGGGAGGACAAATGATGGAATGTTATGGTGCGAGGACTCTTGGGATAAGCTGGCTCCCTCACACACACAGACGTGTCCACACACAGCACACTCACAAAGATTGTGCATATCCTAACATAATACATACACATCCTACACGCACAACCAGGTAAACCCAGAGAGCTAGACAGAAGCTAAATAAAACCGCAGGTGCAACGCCTCTGCCACACAGAACCATCCATTTATTTGTACCATTTTTATTAACGTCCTTGATCAATTTTCATCCTTGTCTGAAAGTCCCAAATGCTTATTGCTATTTTTCTCCTGGTATTGCAACCTCGATTTTTCACGAAGGAATTTGTTTTAACTATCACTAGCCTAGGATTTGGTTGTTCTACCTCAACAGGATGTTCAGCTATCTGAATGTATGCAGCGTCAGAATGCTAAAGAAAAATCATCAATACCCACACACCGGCTGCTTACCTTCACCCTCTGGAACATTAAATAAAATTTTCAGGAAAATCAGGCCTCCCATTGATTTTTCCATAATACCCCAATACGTATCATTATTTGGCAATCTGTCAGGCAGTTTTCAATTTCAGTGACAGTCTCTGCATTCAAACCAATTTCTATTAATTTTGTGAAAATCATTTAAAGAAACATGGCAGCAGATCCCTGATTTAAATCAAGATGCATGGCATCTTCTACTTTTCACTTTTCTTGTCATTTGAGGAGGAAAAAAAAAAAACGCTGTCATTTGTCTGGTGCTGTTTTATAAACATAAACCCAGGCTGCTTATCACTCCTGGCTCCATTATCCTCAGGAGAGTCACGGCTTTTCTTTCCTCCTAACAGTTGCTCCATTATTTTATTAGTGTCCAAAATGAGACCTTGTAGACAGTGGCGATCATAGAATAATGGAAATTAGAGATGGAAATGACAGATTAGGTCTCTTTGCTTGTTTCCTGGGGCCAATGTTCCTGTCAGTCTGTAGTTCAATGCTTTAGCCCGTCTTGTTCTAAAGGACACCAGTGCTGGGTCCCCACAGTTCCCTGAGGCCCTTGTCTACATCCTAAGACTGTCTCTACACACAGCCCGAGGGAATGATGCAGCCATTATCAAGGGAAGTTAGACCCATCCTGCACGATCTGTCTACGAGGCCAGGGATGTGGAGGCTTGAGCCTTAACCACCCAATCCAATCACTGCAGAGAGACAGACTGGGGCATTTAGGGCAAAAGTGAAATGACATTTTGTAGTTGTTTGCTTCAGCAGCAAGTTTGCAAGCGAGGAGAGAGGGAGAGGCGGTATCCATCACCCTTTATAACATGGTACTCAATGAAAATCAGTTAACGGCCCTCCTCAGCCATCACATGAGCCACAGTGCAGCTCTGCAGCAACTGTACAAACGTGAATTTCAGGTTTTCAGTGAGGTAGGCGACTCTGCAGATTTGAAATAGCGAACAGCTCTCCTTTCCATACCACACTTGACATCCATTGGCCAAGGCCTCTGGCTTCTCACCAATGCTTTAATCCTAACAGAGCACTCCGAGGGTACTGGCCCTTCTTAGGAACACCTTCCTCTGAATTTTGTGGCCTCTCTGATCTCAAATCCGGTCAAAGCTGAGCAACCCTCCATTTTCACTAATAGAAAAATTCACAGCATTCTGACTTGCCCAAGTTTCCTGACCTGTGACTCCGATTTCCTTCCCCTAATTTCATTTTCCCTTGTCCTTATCCCTCCACTTCAACCTGTTCCAGAACATTTGCCCTCCTCTAACGCCTGTGGGCATCTATCACACCTTGACTAGTCATCGCAGGCGAAGTCCTCAGAGCTGAGTTCTTCTATCCCCTTATCATAAATCACTCCCTGGGGCTCTTCAATCATTTTTATTGCTCTTCTCCAAACCCTCACCCATTTGTCACCATATTTATTGCTTTGAGAGTCCAGAACTACACTCAGTATTCTAGGTTTCATCTCATCAAACTCATACAGAGGGGCTGACCGTCGACCTCAGGGACGGGCGTCCTCCGTGGCAGTGTTCAAAATGAGATGGGCCAAGCTTTCCCACCTTGTTGGGCTGCAGATGCATATCTACTTGCTGTCCAAGTAGACACTCCAAGATGCCATTTGCCTACATTTCCTTCTTGTTTCCCTGTTCCATTGATTTCTATTATTAGCATTTATTGATTCCTTCCCCTCCTCCCACTACTCAGCTAATGCAAAAAGCAGGCCCTCAGCATCCAAAATAAGGTACAAATTTGCTTTTAAAAAGCATTATGAGACATACAGTGGCTTTAGAGCAGTGTGGATATACTTAATTCCACAGAATTGCACACTTCAGAAATCACTAAAATGGTAAATTTTATGTTATGTATGTCATCACAATGTCAGTATTAAAGCATGTAAAAAAATAAAAAGCACTACCAGACAGGGTGGCACATGTCTGTAATCCCAGTGGCTCAGGAGGCTGAGGCAGGAGGATCCTGAGTTCAAATTGAGCCTCAGCAACTTAGTGAGGCCCTAAGCAACTCAGTGAGACCCTGTCTCTAAATAAAATACAAAAAAAGGGCTGGGGATGTGGCTCAGGGGTTAAGCTCCCCTGGTTGCAACCCCTGATACCAAAATAAAAATAAAAAATAAATCTTTCCAGACACGGTGGTGCATACCTGTAATCCCAGCAACTTGGGAGGATGAGGGAGGATGGCAAGCTCAGCAACTTAGCAAGGCCCATTTATAAAATAAGAAATAGAAAAGACTGGAGTTGTAGCTCAGTGGGAGAGCACCCCTGGGTTCAATCCCTCTGTACTGCATTAAAAAGATAAGCAAATAAGTAAATAAATAAATAAAGTACCAGGTGACTTCTTTGTCCCAGTCATGAGAGCTTGGGGAGAGCAAAGGTCCCACAGGGAAGTAGAACTGGGCACCTGGACAAAATAGCCTTGCTCACCCCAGAGCACACCGCGAGCTTTGCACATCACCCCTGCTCACGGTGCTGGGAAAGCAGGTCTCCACTCCTGGCGGTCTGCGAAGCTCATCAAGCTCCAAGAGTGTGACACTGCAGTCTGTGTGGCTTCGTGTGTCTCCCTCTGAATCACCAGCTAAGCTCAGCCTCTGGAATCCTCGTGGCCGGAAGCGGTGTGAAAGGGGAGAGGGCCAACCTAGGGTCCAGATCGCAGCTGGCTGCTGCAGGCTGCAAATTGGAACCATCATCCTGACTCGTAAATGGATAAAAGGTGATGAAAGCACCGTGGGATGGTATAAATATGGAAAGGCACAGTGAGTTTTTACCCATCCACTGTTCAGAGTATAACCCCTCCCCATTAGCTCTGTTCCCCTCCACAGAGTGGATCCTTGGCCTGTGAAACGCAGCAGTGGTATGGGAGCCTGCCCACTGGCCATCCGCTCACTTACCCCTGGTTTGTCCCCCATTCATTCCGAATGCAAAGGTGCTTGTGGACTGGATCCTTCATGTACCCTTCGTAGCAGAGGCACTCGCCTTAGCAGCAGGGCAGGGAGGAAAAGAGAGAAACACAAGTGAACGGGTTAACGCGTCTGTGCTGGAGAAAAGTCGTATGAAGTGGTCAGATGAAGCTCTGACTCCAACAGGCGCATGAAGGAGGCAATACATCTCCTCATGTCATGTATTTCCCCCAGGAATGAAGACACCACCAGTCTCTCCGTTTTCTCTCCCACAGGAACCCCCGCGTCTGCAAAGCACCTTTCTATATGCTTTGTGAGTGCAATGACCAAGGACCCCTGGGGGAAGAGACGTTCTTCTTCATTGTCTCAATGTCCAGTATACTTCAGGGACTTATTAGGTGATGGATAAATGTGTAAAGATGGCATATGCGAGTTATTTCATCATATATTTCTGAGAATCTTGAAATGTAGGTATTATTAGCTCTTATGCTGGTGGGAGAAACTGAGGCGTAGAACACGGGAGGACTTGTCAACAGCTTGTGTCAGAATAATTATTCATTCCTATGTCTGCTGACACCAGGCCTTTTCTCCCCACCATGCCAGAAACTAGCTCTCAAAACAGCAGTACATTTAGAAGAGACCACATGTACCTATTATGGTTTTATAGGAATGCTGGGTTTTAGCTTCTGAGTGAAAATGGCTAATTATCTTGGAGAAGAAGAAACATCATCTGAACTCTGTATTTGCTTAGGATATTACTATTCTGCATTATTATTAGTTCCTCCCTTGGTACCAAGAAGTTCCTGAACCCTCTGGAATTGCATGCAAAACTATCTATGTGTGTGCATTCATTTTTCAAGACAGGTTTCCATGGCATTCATTTGATTTACAAGCAGACCCCAAAAGCTTAACAATCATTGCTATATTTAGCGTTGATCTTGAGGAAAATTGTTGCTACTTCCTTCCATTAATAATTCCATATGCAGTGCTATGTAACCCCAAACTACTGAGACAAGTTACACCAAAGTACTTGTGTTTGCTCTTTTAATGGCTGGTTATTTAATTTGTAAATAAAAATAACAGTGGGAGACTTCCTGAAATTGGTAAATAACAAAGGTGCCATGCCTTAAGGAGACAATAGGCACACAGATTCTTTATCACCCAAGGAAGGGACATTTGAAAGGGATATAAATAGAATAATAGCTTTGATTGTTATTTTCCATTTTTGAAGATAAAAAACCCAATAAAAATGAAATGAAGGGATCTCACAGTTAAGGGGGACAGGTCTGGATCGTCTGAGCAAGGGTGTTTATTTGGAAGCTTAGCTCAAGGGTTCATTTATAGATTGACCTATAGCAATTATCCATCAGGGCCCCTATCTTTCCCCACAACCATCTTTCCCCACAACTTCTCTAATCCACATGTGGAGGAGTGGATGAAAGAAGGAAAGTGCTGTTTGTGAAAAATCCAGACAGTATAAGAGGTCACTACTCTGTTTCCTGTATGGGAAATTCATGTCATGGGCCATAGGCTACTGAGCACGATGGGTCCACATTTATTGGCTTTAGCAAGGCCGAGCTGTATCCAGAAATGGTCAGGGAGCTCTGAGCCAAACAGGAAAACACAGCTTCAAATTAGGTGGCTGGTGACAGCCAGTGAAGACTGTCCCTCTGATAAAAGGAAAGATAAAGAGGCCAAGGAAAATGAAGGAGAGCACTAGAGCCTGGCTTCATTCCTTATTAATTCCAGAACAATCACGGGCCCTAGACCCGTATGCTACCCGGGGCAGGGACAAGGCTGCTTCTTCCAAAGGAGTCAGCCTTTCACAGAGATGGTGCAATGGAACATTAATTAATTAATTCAAAGGTTTGCCCTACATTTATAGATAACACCGTCACCCCTCAAGATGCAGATATCTAAGCCAATTAACAAGTCCAGGGCTCAAATAGACTTCTCCCTTTGGGAAGGATACGCTCCTGATTGTCCTTGTGGGCAATTAGGCGTAAACCTGATGATACAAAACAGGAAGTCACTTCAGGAGGCTGTCAAAGCCATCACTCTGTCTCAGAATAGTTTCGGCTGGACACCTTGACTACAATTAGGAATATAACAAAAAAAAGGCTGTCCTCTTCCCCATTTGATACCTAGTTACCACACAACATGTAAAATAAATGCAGCAACAACCGAGTGTTCAAAAAGAGCCTCATTTTCCTAATGACAGCAATACCTACCATTTGTATAGCACATTTACCTTCTCAAATTGCCTTCATGGTCATTATCTCCTCATGAGGCTCCCATCACTCATTACCATGTGGGGACACACTGCCGACAGCAGATAAAGCTCTTCTCCACATAATGGCATGTGCGGCCCACCGTCAGAGAAGCCCACATTTTCAAACCTATCAGGCCAGGGTTTGAGGATCTCCAAAATCTGCCTCTCACCGGATCCTCATTTCCAGAACCCACCAAACTTGCCTCTTCTGTATTCCTCCACAAAACCAGTTTGGCCATCTACACTGAAAGGAGTGCAGACTTGATGAGGGAAGTTGCCATGGCAACCAACTGCTAAATCTTGACTTTAAGAGGGGTTTCGTGCAAGCACAGGCTCCGACTGTTAGCTGTGAATTTTAAAGACCCCACAAGGGTGTTGGATGCCCTCCTAAGCTAGAAGTGTTACAGTCTCCGCATCTGCTGTGACAGATGGCGGGGAACACATGAGGCGCCGGCTCTGTGGTGGTATACACAGGAATCCAAGAGAGAGATGTGTCATGGCCACGGAGAATGCTCTTCCAGGGTAGAGTGTGCCTGCAGGAGGCGCTCGGGCGTACGTACCTAACTTACGTACACCTGAGTTATCTAATAACCCCATGAGAGGACTTGTCCCCAGATCACAACTTGTTATTGTGGGTCTCCAGACTCCAGATTCAGGGTCTGGAGACTGCTACGCCCGCCTTGTGCCCAGTGCCCTGGAGAGGAATGATGCCTTGATCTGCCTTGTGTGTGTGATAGAGCCTTTGGTTATTTCCCACCCTACAGATGAAGCACTGAGGTACAAAACTCGTGGGAGGATTAAAGAATGACCTTGAAGCTGGGGCTCCTCAGGCATGACTTGATCAATGCAGATCAAGTCCAAAATCCCTGATTCATCCTGCTTCAGGTAGCAGTTGGCTTTCATGAAGCGGAACTGGGTATGCTTCATCTAAAAAGGGAAATCTCCGTCAGACACCCAGATTCGGGTAACATCTAACTGCTGATATTCCTCCCCTATGCAGACATCGGGAAACGGGTGGGTCCGGGGTCTTACAGCCCCACAGGACTGTAAGGAGGAGAGAAGAGAGTGCCATAGTGCATCCTGAAGGAAGTGCTTTAATGCAGCGGCACAGGTGCATTTGGAACAAGTGGGCAATCCAGGTGCAAGAACAAAATGGGGACGAGCTATTCTGCCAAACTGGGTACAGCAACACCCAGGTAGAGAGAGAAGCAGTGGCTTGGAGCAAGCAAAGGAGCAGAGGCTGCATCGTCTGGCAGCCAGGCCCAGGGCCCCTCAGCAGCTTTACCCATCTCTATCTGGCTGGGTCTGGCCCATGAAAGACCTGGGACAGAAGAGATTTCCGTGAACATCTTGGATAGAGATTAAAACTTGATTTAGCGTGGAAGCCTGTGCTCCTTGCAGACCTATAAAAGCTACATATCTTGAAAAGGGCAATGAGGGTCTGTGGCCAGAATCAATGGGGCTGCAAAATTAAACAGGTGTGCGGAGCCTGCACAGCTGCCCATATGGCAGGACAAAGGCTGGCGGTGGAGCGGAGAAAAAGTCACTGAAACCAGGTAGCATGTGTTTCCATAAAAACAAAACAAAACCGAATGGCAGGCGGCCCCAACAAAGACACTCAGAAACTGCAGGAAAAGTCAACTTCCAGCTGATCCAGTGGGGGCATTGAGTCACATATTCTTAGTGCTTTGTGATTATCCCAAATGACCAGAGCCAGGCCTGGGAGGACCCGGGAGAGAATGTCACTGTGTGGCTGGCAAAGGGATTTGTCAGAGGGCTGCTGCTCTCAATGTCCACTTGGAAGGGGAAGGATTCTTCTACCAGTTCCCTTCCCAAAGGCAAGCAGTGCAGGTGTCCTGGCATGAGCAGTATGTCAGGCAGCCTGAATTTGAAGTCCATCTCGGCTAGTAACTAGCTGACTGATCTTGAGCCAATTAGTCAACATCTCGTGTAAAATGAAGGTAAAATACCATGTGCTTCATAGCATTATTCTAAGGCTTCAGTTACAAAGGCTGAGCAAAACACAGGGCTTGACAGAGAGCGAGCGCTCAGTCAACAGGACCTATCCTGATTTTTATTGAAAATCATTTTCCCACACACATTCTCCGCTGGTCCCCACTCCCGACGCGGCAGGATGCGGGGACGATGGACCACGGTGCATTTTCCGATTTGTCATCAGGCTGCACCTAACTTACGTACACCTGAGTTATCTAATAACCCCATGAGAGGACTTGTCACCAGATCACAACTTGTTATTGGTTGAGATCTGCTGGAAGAGGGTCACAGTGCTCAGCAGGAGATGGGAAATGGCAGGTAAATCCCCAGGGTATGCCTGACATTTCTCAGGCACCACAGAGTCTTCAGGTGAGAGCATTCGCTTGTGTCCACTCTGTTCCAGGCCCTGGGCTAAGAGCACACAGTCCCTCTCTCTCCCAGCGAGCATGTTGATGCACGTAAATGTGGAGGGAGGTGCATGGAGAAGTCAGCAATTGTCCTCCACAGGATCCCAACCCATCTTTAGAGAGTCTGTAAACTGGGCCGGGGGGCCTCTAAAGGAGAAGCACTATCTCGCTTTGCTCCTCTCCACCTTTTCTCTCCTCCTTGGTGTGTGTTTCTCACCGCAGTAGAATATCACCACAAGCTCAGGGGTTCAAAACAGCATCGGTTATCATCTCACAGTTCTGAAGGCCAGAAGTGTGACACGGTTTCATGGGGCTGAAGGGTAGGCATCTTCAGGGCTGTGCTCCTTTCTGGAGGCTTGAGAGGAGAATCCGTCCTCTGGCCTTTCCATCTTCCAGAGGCTGCCCACACGCCTTGGTTCATCCCTGGTCCCTCATCCTCAAAGCCTGCAATGACTGGCTGGGTCCTTCTACAGCAGATCACTCTGATCTCCCTGGCTGCCTTCCTCTTTCACTTTTAAAGACCTTTGTGATTACACTGGGATGACCCAGATAACCAGGATAATCTTTCTGTCACAAAGCCAGCTGTCTGGAACCCTCCGGTCCCCATGCATCCCCCATCCTCCCTGGCCATGCAACAGAACACATTCACAGATTCGAGGGATTCGTCTGTGGACGGTTGAGCAGTCCCTTCTTCTGCCTCCTCTGGAGCACTGTGCAGATGATGGGTAAACACAGAGCTCACTTGGGGACAGTTGTAGGGCAGATGCCTGAGGAGAGCTCCAGGCACTGGAGGCTGCTCCTTTGCAGCAACGGAGCATCTGTGTTTGTGTGCTTGTTTATGTGCATGTGTGTGCGTGTGTGTGAAAAGTATACAAGTGCTCTTGCACAACCCTATATATCCATATGGGCAGACCCCTCGGCGTGGCTGGGAAAGCACATGTCCCAACACTCTGACATTTCCAAGTAAGCTAGCTGGAAGATTGCAAAAATAGCATTAACTTGACTTGAAGCCAATTCCCACACTCAGCTCTTTGGAGAAGGCTCTAGGATGGAGTGTGGGAGGCGATAAAGTTTCTTACTGATGAGCGTGTGGGATGACCACATCATCCTATGTGCAGAAAGAAGCAGGACGGGGCGGGAATGGAGGGGAGAGTCCAATTGCAGCATTAATGAAAATAAAACTTTGCAGCATCATTTCTCAGCTGTTACCCTGAATGAAGATGTTGCACCCTAGTTCTGCTGTGGGGTTTGTGTTCTTATTTTTAGCCTTTCTCCTTGGTTCTCCAGTTGGAAATTCATCAGTCGTCAAATATTCAGGGGAGAGGCTTCCCGAACTCATCTTTAGTAAGGATCAGAAACGGGACATCTGGAAGGAACGGAGGGTTGAAGGGAGAGCTCAGCTACCGACAAGCAGCTTCCTGGCACAGGGAACGGCAGTGCTCAGCAATGGCTGTTGCTTAAATGGTTTTGAGTGACAAATATGTTGGGTCTGACATGTCTGGGGAAATTAAGCAACCCTTCCTAATCCCATTTTTGCTCTGATTTCATGATAGATTAAACACAGACTCTCGCTGTAGGGAGCCACAGGACTCTGGGCAAGTCATGGAACTTCTCAAAGAATCCAAATGTTGATGTCAAATAAAGAGGCGGTTTATATCTGAGACCCCTAAAAACACACGACACCAAAGCCCTTCTTTCCACGTGCAGTTGTGGGTGCTTCCTCTTCTTTGAAACCCAAGTGGAAGCATCCAAGGTTCTCTGGAGATCATGCTTCTCTCAGAAGTGAGTTTAACAGCTAAGATTGTCCCAAATCCTCCTAATCCAAACCAGCTGGAGAGTGCGGGTACCAGAGCCTGGCTCAGTTGCATGGAGAGGCTCCACCTCGAGATGAGCTCTTTTTAATTTCTTCTGAGCACACTAGCTTTGGGCATGGTGCACAGCCCATCTGTTTGGTTTGGTGTTTGCCTGACAGCGTGGGCAGAGCAGCAAGTAAGCAGTCTTAGACATCAGATGTTTGAAATGCTGTACTTTCTCTTCCATATGGGGGCCTAGAATCTCTGCGATGGGCCCACATTAAAAAACTCTAAAATCTAAGAACATGAACTTTAGATGTCTCAGTTACCTGCTGCTCTTCCAAAGAGATTTAGCATTGGATTACAATAGAAATGAGGGTTAGGTACCTTAGACTCAATCATCAGTGACATTCTTTCACCTGGGTACCTGAAGAAGGTGCATCAGCATGTGTGGGTCCATGTGTGTGATGTGGGGGCTGCATCATCTGGTGGGTGTATAAATAGCTTGAAGAGCTGACCCCTGCCTCCAACAACCCCATCGCTTTTCTTTGCTTTAAAGGTATCATAATACTTCTTTGAGAAAGATCAATCCTGGTACTCAATGAACTGGAAACAGGTCTTGGTAAAGACTATTGCAGATGAGCCCCTTCCACCGTGAAAGTACAGAGCAATTAGGAATCAGAGGTCTGTGCTCCTGGATGCGCTGGAGCTCGGGGTAACACGGCTGCCCCTGCTCATGCCACGTGGGGCATGCAGGCCCTCACACAGAGATGCCCCTGTCCCATCTGATGGTATGGCAGAATTAGAGATGCTCGTAATCTTTTCCAGGAATCCCTCTCTAACATTTATCCGAAGAAGACAATTTGCCATGTGCCCCGCATTTATGTGGAAAGATGTTCATTTTAATAGTATTTATAAAAATTAAAAATTTAGAGCATCCTAAATGTCAAATAATAGGGAACTATTTAAATGAGCTATGATATAGACAGACAAAGGATACCAAATGGCCATTAAAATTATACTATTCAGGATTATTTCATGATTCTGGAAAACTCTCATGATGGAACATTAAGTGAAGAAAAGCACAAAACTCCCCTAGATTTAGTATGCTTCTAGGAAGCCTCAAAAAAACACAAAATCTATGAGAGGAGGGATTGGAAGGGAAGTCATGAACATTTCAAAAGTGATTTCTAGAAGAGATAGAAATATAGTTGACTATCATTTAGTTCGAAAATTTCCCAAATTTTCTATAATAAACATGCATTAATTTTCTACCTCGATGTATCTGTCCCCAGCAGCTCAGTGCCACTGACTGCAGGACAGAGTATGGAGTTCATTCTAAACTGATCTTTCTGGAGTGGGGCTACAGTGAGGATCCTGCCAAGGCTTTGGCAAGGTGACTGCACACTTGATGTTCAGTGGCCTCAAGACATGCTGGCAGCTGGTATGGTCCAGGCTCGGGATGACAATGGGACACTGGAATTGGGAGACAGGGTCTGAGTTTCGAGGGAAGGACTGCAAAAGGCACAATCTCTCTGACAGTTACCCGCTGCCCGGTGCTCCTGCCTACCAGTTTCGGGGTCACATTGATGTTCACAGGGGTCCAGGAGCCGCCGGGCACAGAGGTCCATGGCCCAGGGCCCACTGGAGTTCTGCTGAGAGAAGAGCACCACTTGGGCAGGGTTCAGCCAATCACTGGCATCCAGCTGGCTGCCCTCCAGCAGGATGAAGCGGCTCCCTGCAGGGAGACAGAGAGGAAGCGCATCTTAGGTGCACATACAATACACACACAGTCACTGAGGCAGGTGAGCCCCAGTGGCCAGAGATCATTCCTCCCACCAGTCCTAGCCCATCATTAGCACCAGAGCAAGGGAGCAGCAGATGGACTGGCCGTCACGTGGACTGGTGTGAGGCCAGAGACATTCGGCCTTGAAGCCATATCCCCCGCCCCCAGTATCTTGCCCCATCCCATCTTGCCAGAGTGTTCCTAAGGGATACAGGGACAGAGCAGCTCTGTGCTGGCCATGGCATGGCTCCATCAGACCCAGCCATAGGCACTGGCACTCGTCCAAGGAAAAGGGACCCGCTGCCTGTCTTCACTTGCCATGAAATAGCAGGCCCTCTGACACCGCGAGCAGTCCCCACCTGTTTCCAGCCTTACAGCAACCGCGAGAGCAGACATTAACAAGTCAATTAGGTGCTGTGGGCTTAAATGACTCAGGGACTCTCAGAACCTGTATTATTCCCTCATTATATTGGGGTCCCCCTGGATGGAAGTAAATTATTGCTTCCGAGTTCTCGGCTTATAGCAAGTTACGGCAATTAGGAATTTCTCACCTGGGCAAAGCAAACCAAAGCATGGCTAATCCTTAAACACCTCTAGTACTCTACTGAGCCTTTCCAAAGGCTGAGAGAATCCTGATGTCTAGCTACCTGTAGCCAAGGTAGCTCTGCATCTCTCTACAAAGACAGAGGCTTATTTTAAAACAAACAGAAAGAGAGTGGGTGTGAGGACAAAGAAGTGCTCTTCTCAGTTTGTTTTTCAACTTGCTGTCCTAGTTCATCTGTGGGCAATCCAATCTTGTCCTACATCTTCCTGTTCGGGTTTACTGCCCCCCACACCTGCAGGAATAGGGAACAGTGGCCCTTGGCTTCTCTTTCCTCTCCCAACGGAAAACCTTCCTCTCGGGGGCAGGAGGTCACCTTCACGGCAGAATGAGCTCACCATCAGCAATCAGGTGCTCGGGAACATGCAGCGTGATTTTGACAACGAGAGGGCAACTGACGTGAGAGGAGCACACGAGGCCGATGACGCAGCTGGTGATACTGATCAGGGTCAAGGTGGTCTTATTCACAGGACTCCGGGGAGAACCCACTAAAAGGGAGACAAAAAGAAAACACGGTGGTAAAAATCTTGGTATTGAAAGTCCAACTTGGCTTTTTGCGGTCCCACCTGGGAAACAGGGGAGGAAGTTGGCAAACATAACCCGCAGCAGGTGAGAAATGTCCCCAGCTGCCTGACCTCAGTGAGCTTCATTCTCAGAGACATCGTGTTTCATCAGGGCAGGAGGCAAGTTGACCAACTGGTGCCCTGAGGGTCAACTGTGACAAGCTGAGTGCAAACCCTTTGCACTTTGCCTGGGCCTGGAGCATCTCTTCTTCTACTTGCCTGGCTGAGCTCCAAGTTCTTGCCCAAGGAGGCAGCCATGAGCTAAGCCCACCTTGCACTTCTGTTGCTGTCCACAGAGGGCGCTCTAGAAGAGGCCCAAACTCCATGGTGCAAAGGGAGGGGCTTCCTCTGCTGGAAGAGCTTGTGCTTTCTCTGTGGGTGACCATTACTACCAGGTGACTTACTATTCCATGCCTGGACTGAGGAAGACAGGGCAACTCTGCTCTGGAGGAGTGGATGGTGTCACACAAGAAAGCTCCCCACATTCCTGCAATCATTGGAGGGCATGGTCATTGCAGGGGAAGAAGAAACACTCCTGGGTGTCACACTCCTGGGACTGGGAAGGAGGGGGTTCGTTTTTGTTTATTTTATGGTTTGGGGTTATTTTTTTATTTTTTTAATTTTTGGTGGGAGGTGGAAAGAATAAAATGGTAGTAAGCCCAGGAGGTATTTTTTATGTGGGGGGCAGAATAGATGTGAGCAAGTTGACAAAACATATAGGTCCTTTGCAATTTTCTTCTGTTCTATGTTGATAATTTCTTATTAAGAGCAGTAAAGCACATCCATTATGGTAGACACTGTGCGGGGTTTCACACACATTATTTTCTTTTTAATATCTGCTTCCTTACAATACACCTATAAGTCTGCACAGTAACGACCTACTTTATAGAGAAGGAGAGCAAGTCTCTAAGAGATGGACCTCATCACAACAGTTAACACTTAGGAAGAGGTGATTGCCAGGGCTGTACATGGTTCATATCACTGAATGATGGCCAGGTAAATACTATGAGGCAACTCCCATTGCGGAACAGAGAGTCAGAGAGGCTTCAGGGCAAGTCCAGGGCTGAGCATCTATAAAGGCGCGGAGCTGGGATCAAAGCACAGATCCAGCCAAGGCTCCAGCCCACGGGAATGATGTGCTGTTCCTTCTTGGGCTAGGAGGAGAGAGATGAGGGCAGCAGGAAGCCTCTGGTTCCTGGGTCCCTGCTAGTTGGAGGTATCCTATTCATGCTGGCGTCCTTCCAGAACGGAGTTCATCTCCCCACCCTTACAGATCTCCAGCCCAGCCCAGCTTCAGCAGTCGATCCACATCCAGAACATCCCTCGGCGATAAAACGCGGCACGTCCACACCTGGACTTGCCACCATGTCTCAAGCCCTGTCTGCTCTCACTTCCATTGTCCAGCAAATGGCTGTCAAACCAGCTTGATTTCACAATTCGAAAAAGCCCATCATTTCTAACTCTTGCCTCTTGATCTCAAGCCACCCTCCTGCCAACAATGCTATTAAATATTCCAATTTTCATTTTTGTGTCCCAAATTTCTCTCACTTCCATTCTCTTCATCTCTTCCTACCCGCGTCGTCTGTACCAGCATCATGGCAGTAGCCATCCACCTGTCTCTTGCCCGCCCCACCTAATGACCACGCTTGTCCCCAGAAGGATCCTTCACTAAGCAGAGCTGAGCAGGGCAGCCCTCTGTAAATGCTCCCAGTGATTCCAGTGAAAGGGCAGGCCCAAGTCCCCCCTGAGTCAAGGCCACGTCCTTCCTGGCCTCTGCTGATCTTCCAGCTTTCTTTCCTAAGCAACTGTACTCAAAGTTTAATTCTAATAAACTCTCTGCTGCTCTCAGACTAGACCATCATCCTTTATGTCTCAGTGACTTTACACATATTATTTCCTCCTCCACAGAAGGCCATTTTGTCACCTTGTCATCCCAGTATACACCTACTCTTCAAGTCTCAGCTCAAACAATATCACTCTGTAAACACTTCCCTGAATCTTCAAGAACAGATTCTCACTCCTTGTTCATCCAGCCCTCGGTGCACCCTGCTGTTACAGCTCTTATCACACAGCGTGGCAGTGTCCTCACTGTTTACAGGCACTGCCATTGCTCTCTGTGACTGCGGTAACTTGCTGACATTCCCCACTCACTCCTGTGTCTGGCCCATCAAGTCAGAATCCAGCATCCCTACCTGGCTTCCTTATTTGCCCACAGAAGCAAGTGCCAACCCAGTCATGTGATGTGTGTGCATGGCTCTTTGTTAGGTAATTCGTTCTCTAGCTTCATCCCTACCACCCCAGCAGGTTTATGTTTACATCCTACCTAGGGCTACCATATTGAATTTTAATTCCTTGGAAAAACCATGTTCTCTTGTGCCTTCAAGGATCTTCATGTGCTGTCCTCCTCTTCTGAAATGTTCTTACTCTGTACTCTTCTGTTTTAGGAAGTCCAACACAATTTATATATCCCTGTTCTAATTATTTCCTTCTTGGTTGCCTCCAACTGCTGCCAGGCAGGATTAACTATTCTCTCTTCTAAGTACTCATTTTGCTTTATTTATACCATTAAATGAAACCTTATCATTGTGCCATGTTTTCATGTTTCTACCACCTATTATAAAGCCTGACCCATAGCAGGTAGGTTATAAAATGTTTTTGCTGGTCTGATTGATGTTTCCAGTCCAATTAAACAAGCACTTACAAGCATGCATTAAAAGCAAAATCCTTTACTAGACACTTTCAGAAAATAATTAGGCGTGTTCCACCCCTAAGATGCTTACAGTCTAGTTAACAGCAATAGTCGGTTGATGCACTAAGGAGAGTTTGACATTAAAAAGAAAGAATTTTATGCTGCTAAGGAGTGCATTCTAAATCATCATCATGGATTTTCGTAAATAAGATTTTATGAAAGAAGGATACACCTGTTTGGATGTGGCCTAGATTGGACAGGCTCAGGTTGAGTACCTGCTCTAAAATACATAATGAGGAACAAGGGAGAGGGTGACGCCGTCATCCATTCTCAACTCAGGGAAACTGAGGCTTGCTTTGGGAGCTAAGCTGCCCAAAGCCCCATTGATATATTCAGGTAAATGGTAAGAAACTTAATGCTAATGATGTGAAGCCTACAGAAGCCAGAATTTAGAATTAAAAGCTTTTTCCAATCTCTGGAAAGAATGCTCCCTGCATGGAGAGATTGAAGTGGAGGAAGGACTGAGCCCAAACATATGTCTTTTGGGGGTGTTGGTTAAATACTGTTGGGAAAATGCCCATGAGCAAGCACAAAGTGATGTCACTCATCCTTCCTTGCATCTTAAGAGGAGTTTGTCCAAGATTTTAAGATGGGGCACGACAGAAACCTGAGGTTGCACAATGGAGAGATCGAACAGCAGCAATAGGGATTTCACAGTGCTTTAGCAGCTGCCCCAAACCCCCACCCTTTAATATAGTTCAATCCTGACAGCGGCCCAATATGTGAGGTATTGTCAACCCACTCTGACCCTCAGAGAAGCTTCACACAGCAAGTGAAGCAGGACGCTCACTAGTGTTTGAGCACACAGCCTCCTCAGAGATGGTGGTGACACCAGCCAAGTCACAGACAGTGGCAGCTGCAGCAGTCACATCTCAAAGTGCTAAACAGCAGCGCCGAGTGGCTGCTTAGAAGGACAGCTCTGTCACTGCCAATGAGAAAGAATTTGCCACCTAAATTCTGCCAGGAAGGAAGAGAGGCCTAAACCTAGACTATGAGAGTCTACTGGGTCGGGAATTAAAGGTCAAAGAAAATTACACATTTTTCAGGCTGTAGGATTCTTCAGCTATCCCCAACCCCTGCCTAGCTCAATCCCCAGGCCAATATGGCTGAGCAAACTAGGGGCACAGGACTGCTGTGGTTTGGATATGGAGTGCCCCTGAGAGATCATGTATTAGCTGATGCCGGGATGTTCAGAGGTGAGATGATTAGATTTGTAGGAGCTATATCCGAATCTGTGGGTTAATCCACTTGATGCACTGGGCGGTAACAGGTGGGGTGTGGCTGGAGGAGGTGGGTCCCTGGGGGTGTGCCCTTAGGGTTCAGATTCTGTCCCTGGACCGTTTCCCAAGTCCATGAGCCATCAGTGCTCTGCCACACCCTTTTGTCCTCAGCCTCACCTCTGACCCAGAGCAGGGGAGTTGACCAACTGTGGACCGAATCCTGCAAAACTGTGAGCCCCAGATAAACTTTTCCTCTCCTGAGCTGTTCTTGACAGGGATTTGGTCACAGCAATGAGAAGCTAATGCAGGGACTATGAATATTTCCCACATATAACACGATTTATCAACTTTATTTCTTTCCTCTGAACACCAAAATATGACTCCTGAGGCTTCCAGAAGGAATTGAGAGTCTTCTGACCAAGAAATAGCCTTTCAAACAACTTGGAAACTTGTTTGAGAGTGCCATTATCTGGGAGAGATGATTCTCTGAGAATTTCCACTTTGGCTCTTCTTTCTTCCTCAGAAGGAAACACCAGGCCTGCTCCCAGAATTCTTGCTGCATTGACTGGCTTCGGCCCCCTCAGTCCCGCTCAGGCCCCACCTTCCCTCTGCCTGCACCTGCACCGCCCCCCCCCCCCATCCTTCCTACCTCGACTGCGCCTCCGGCTGCGAGAGGGATCAGTGTAAAAGGTCAGCTGAGGGTCATTTTCTGCCTCTGTGCCAGAATCCCCTTCAGGGTTCAAGAAGGCGGAACCGGCTGAAAGGAAGCACAGGCAAGACAACATTTTCAGTTTTGTCTTCCTGACACCACGTCACTGGGGAAGTTCAACAGAAAAATCGATGAATTTGAGAGCAAGCTGACTGGCAATCTGGAAGAAGTAGCCAGGGGGCTGGGGCTTCCTGATATCCACGGCTGTGAAGATGTGGAAAAGTAGTCCTCACTGGAGTCCTACGCCCCAGAAAGAGGCAAAGGGTTTTTAGTTCTTCCTTAAAATGGCATTCTACTCTATCTTCTCTTTTATAACTTCATTTTTTTCTCATTAAATAGATGGGTGGGCAACTTTCCATATGAACAAATATAGATCTTCATTATCATTTAAAATGACCGTATAGGAAGCTACTGGTCAGTAGACAGATGTGCCAGGTGGTTAACCGATTCCCTGTTGATGGACATTTAAGCTCCTTTTGATTTCTCCCTTGGCCTCTCTTTTACATACCTCTTAGCCCCCTCACCCAATTGCTTCCTAAGCATAGGTTCCTGATGGTGGAAACACTTGGTCTAAAGGTTTGCATATTAATCTTTTTTTGGGAAAGTGACACTTAGCTGACTTTCAGAAGGCTGAGCCAGGGCACATGCACTCGGTCACACATGAGGGTGAAGAGTATCCACAGCCCCGCTCTGCCCTCGTGCAGCCAGCTGCCTGCAAGCCCCAGCTCCAGGTGTGGATACCTCTTGCTTTGTTGTTGATCCGCTTTCTCTGGCTACTGGACGTGTGAGAGAGCAGGGTGGCCTGCTGGTGGTTGGAGTCCACGGGGCTCGTGGCAATGATGTTATCTTTGTACTTGTTCATCAGTGACAGCTTGGCATTGTCACTTCCTGTATAGAGAAAAGTTGAGGCAAAAATTTTAGCGACCTGAAGAGCACGAGAGCAAGGAAATCTGCATGAACCAAGTAGATGAGGTTTCACAGAAATGAAATAAGGAAACTGCAAAATGAGAGACTGGCAGAAACTAAAATTCTCCTCTTTGATTTCTAGGGGCTACGGAATTGGGAGGAGTGAAGTAAGAGGATTACAACTGAAAATCCAATTCAACTAATTCTGTATTGATAAGTTCACCGCTTGTCACCCTTTGGTTACAAACTGACTGCAGGGACAGTACAGAATTGCCAAATAATTTGAATTTGTGTGCTTTCCGAAAGAACGTTCCCTATCTTTTTTATCACAGTCTATACCATTCTCTATTTTCTGACCTCCAGATACTGTTGTGTGATCTGTCCGCCCCCTAAAGGCACCTAAGTCTGTAACCCTGAGTACCATAATGGCTACTTGGTGGCCTCAGCATTATGCTAGATGCTGTGGGGAATATAAGAGATGCTGAGGACACCCCTCCCCCATATCAAAGAGTTCTCAGACTTTAAATCTTATAATAAATGGTTATTTTCAGGGTTGGAGATGTAGCTCGGTGGTAAAGCCCTTGCACAAAGTCCTGGGTTTGACCCAATACCTCAAAAATTAAAAAATATAAAAGGAAATGCTTGTTAATGTAGAATTACCTCTAGATAACAAGCAGAATTTCCATTTTCCTCTATCTGATTTCACTCTCAATCCCCACGGAAAGATTCTGTATCATAAGCAGCATGCAGCATCAAATATGTCTTCCATGAAGATAACTGGGCAGTGCCTTGAAAGATCACTGTCAAGCATTTATCTGTGGGGATGTGCTTATTCATAGCATTGTGAAAGAGAAACAGGTGGGCTACTGTAAAAAACAGTCCTTCTCTCTCTCTGCATTTTTATTTTTGACCCTGATCTTATATTGGATTAAGTCCAAGTCCTACCAGTGTCTCTGTACATACACAAAGCATCTGAGGTCTGATACCTTGACTACATTCCTTCATTTTCTTTGAAAAAATACATCCTCTGTAGAGACCACAGAAGCATGGACAAGATAATACAACTAAACCACCCCAGGCCAAGTCTTGGGAGTCAGAAAAGAGAACACACAGCACTGTCCCTTCCACTGTATTGGAGAATTAAATTATCTATGCAAATATATGATATTCAAAAAAAAATCAAAATATGTTGGTTTCCCTTACTATTACCTTACTTCACAGAGGGTTGCTCACTACACACTGAACAGGCACTAATTCGTTCCTCTGTTGGATGCAAAGGTACCTCTGCTTCCAGTGCAAGGAGGAAGTGGAAGGGGTCCAATTTACACTGCTCTTCTGGTTTTCCAGATTAGAAAATAGCTCCGGACATCTCAGGAAACAGACTATTTCTGCCCACCCCGGGAAGGGGCATTGGCACATTCCACCTTGTAACACAAGCAGCTGTTGCCAAACAGCTGTTCCTACCCACTCTCGGGCTCCCTGAGACCCAGGACTACACAGCGCCTGCGCTCACCCCCACCTGGTGTGAGGTCCATCCCTGTCTTCTCATTGCAGCCCTGCAGGGAGTCCAGGGTGCGTGTGACCTGGCTGGCGAAGTCCTCCCCTCCGTTCATGCACTCCCTCTGCAGGTGGTGGCGCAGGTCTGTGATGTCGTACTCATAGCCATCCAGGATGGGTGTCTCCCGGATGCTCAGCGTGCCGCTGGAGTTGTGGCCCTGCACACGGGCATTGCGCAGACTCTCCCGCCCGTGGCCCCCGATCAGCACCGAGGGGATGTAATGGATCTCGTTGGCCGCCTCTGCGCTGGCACTCTTCTGCGGCTGGGGGACCCGGCGGCGTTTGCACCAGCGCCTCCGGGTGTACAGGATCATCACCAGACACAAGATGGACAGCAGCAGAGCGATCATGCCTCCCTGGGAAGAGAGGACAAGGCATGGATGCGGGAAGACGGGTGGGCTCTCTCCACTAAGAGCCCTTGCTCCTTCTGCTATAGGCATTCATCACTCACTCGCTGGCACTTTCAGCATCACTCAGCAACAAAAGGACAGTCTGCTGTGACCAGTGTCCAACATGAGAGGATTGGAGCTGTTGTGGCCAGTGTATCATTTCAAGGGATCTGGTTGCTTTTGGCTTAGCAAACAATTAGAAGAGAAAAACTCTTTGGAGCTGTGTGTGTGAGAGGTTCTAGCAGCAGAAGGTGAGAGGGAGATTTTTTTCCTTAAGGCCAATCTGCAATATGTATACTGGTTTAAGGCCCTTTTTTATTTTAGCAATATGGGGTGGTATCTAGTTTCCTGTCTCATATTGAACAATCCATCCCAGGTGGGTTCTAACTCTGGATCCACAGATCAATGAGCCCTATAAATCCTAAACCTCAGCTTCCTCATCAGTAATGTGGAGGAGATGCCACTTCACCACCCAGGGTGGTTGCAAGAATTAGGTTAGGTAACTATGCAAAGTGCCTGACACAATACATCACAAACAATCAAGGCTGTTCTCAGCATCACCTGAAATGTCTCGGGCTGAATGACTGGCCCAGCAGGGAAAACCGCTGGCGAGTGCAGAGGGAAATTTACATCCCTCAGGAACTTGCTGCCAGCATGGGGAGAAATCACACCATCTGAATGTGACTTTTGGACAACTTCTTTTGATTAATTACACTGTCCTGAGTGATGCTCCCCATTCCTGCCCCTGCTAAGGGAAGGGACTGAGACCCACATCCTGGAGTCGGGCTGGCAGAGGACTTTCCTTCTGAGCCTGTTGGTGCTCAAAGGTCACCACCTTGGAAGCCATTCCTTACAAGTCGGTATGTCACGCAGTTGTCTGTCAGAGGCAAAGACATAGTACTCAGTGAGATTGAGCACCTTGCCTTGACATCCACCTGGGGCAGGTTCTAGGAGGGCCTTCCAGGCCTGTTCTTGCACAGAGCACGGCAGGTATAAATCTTCCTGTGCACAATCTGTATTCACCCCCTTTGTGTTGGTCAATATCCCTTCAAACCTATTTCATTAGACCAGGGTGTGCCAAATGGTTCTCCTCTCAACCTTGGGCTTCAATCACTGCCACCCTGTTGTGCAGGGTAGAGATGAAAATCCCCTATTAATTCCCAGAGGCCCACCCACACAAGGATGGGTCAGGAGTACTCCCCCAAACACATTAAAGGAGGCCTTTCCAGTCTTATAATAATTATATTTTGGATTTATAAAGTTCCTTTCCCAGTAAATCTTCCTGTTTAACCTCTCTCTCCCATCATCACTGCGAGCAAAGGAACACACACACACACACACACACACACAGAGCCACTTTCAAACAGGCTTCACAGAGGAGCAGAGACTCAAGCCAACAGAGTCAGCTGCTGAGAGACAGGCCATATCAGGTGGCTTGTTGGGGCAGATACGACCTCCTATTTTCCAAATCTGTCTTTTATCTGGAGGCTCTTTCCTCCTGGTGCACTCTCTCATGCAAATACAGAAAAAGAGGAAATATGTTCAGCTAAATTGGGTGGCAGTGCAAAGACAAGTACTGAGGTCCACGCTAACTGCCACCTGTCCTGCCATCCATCCTGGACTCCCTGCAGACATACAGAGCACCCTGGGTCCCTGCAGAACCCTGACTTAAAGACACAGCACCTCAGTGCTGCCTAACCAAGCCCTGCACAATCCAGTGACCATGACCAAACCGGTGGTTTTCAGCAGAACCTTTATCTCAGAATCAGATCCACTTTCCTTTCCCTCACCCTAAATTGAAACTGTGACAATAGGTAATTAAGCCACAAGGAAAGAATAACTTCCCAACTGAAAGAAGTTGTCAGACATTAAATTAGGCTACTGAAAGCCAGAGGTAATTTTATTCTCTAAAGAGCTATAAAGGCAGCATAAACATCAATCTCCAAGGAATGGCTTAAACACCACGTTTCTGGTTCACATAGGGGTTCAGGGAACCCCTTGTACTCTTCCTGTCTACAAGCTCCTTTCAGAGGTCACAATAAAGTTATGATGGGATCCAGGCCAGAGCTTCTTTCCTACTAAAACACAATAATGAAACAAGAATACCTGTCTGTAACTGGGCATTTCCTATGTATCAGATATTTGTCCAAAATGCTCTGCACTTTCATCTCTAAGAGGTAGTATCAATTTTCCCCATTTTCCATTTGAAAAGGCTGAGGCAAAGAGGTGAAATAATTTGCCCGAAGTCACACAGCAAATGGCTAATGGGTCTGGAAAGGAGCACAGTGACTCATTTCAGAGCCTACATTCTTAACCACTAGGTGCAGTTGCGCTGAATGGACTCTGTTGTCAGGAATCCTGTACATTATGGCATTTACTTCAAAAACCAGAAGAGGAGGGAGTAGGAGAGAGTGGATGATTTCACCCCTTCTATCCTCTCTCAAAGGAAAAAGAGAAACTAGTCAAAATGCACACTGGGTCAAAAGGGAGTCCATCATAAACAGAGGGCCTTCTACCGAGCACTCACTAAGTATCCAAATCCAAGGCCAGTTTGTAGTTTAACAAGGACCCTGGCATCCCATATTCTCCACACTAGAGCAAGACGATGTGCATCACACATCACTACATGCCCAGAAGACACTATTAGGCCCTCAATTTAGCTGAATTTTGACCAAGAAATGCATGCACTCTTCAGCTAAGATACCCTCTGAAAATCCTTTTCTGAGGCAGAAACCAAGGCTCAGAGAAACCCCAGCTAGATGGTGTGGAAGCTGTGCTCACCAGCCTCCCTCACCACTCTGCCATATTGTTAGGGTTATCACATTTCCCTTTACCACGTGTGGAGCTCAGATACTCAGTTAAAATGTCTACGGTTTACTGTTGAAAAAAATCCTAAGTAATAGGAAGCTGGAATACAGAGTTGGTTCAGCAAAGTGGTTGCATTTAGATTCTCTAATCTTGCTTTAGTGAAATGTGTCCTCTGCTGAGAGCCCAGGACTCCTGACCACCAGCTACCAGTAAGGAGCTCTAGCCTATCGGTGGAACTCAGCCCAGGCATATGGAAATGAATTCTCAGCTACTCAAGTAGTGCTATCTGGTTTCTCTCCTATGACCCAAATTGGTGACAGGTGTCACAACAGTTTGCAATGACTTATTAATTGTGGTTTATTATATAAATAATAATATGCATACCATAACATTATCTAATATTAATATGTAGCATAATTTAGTGAAAATATTTTGTAATAATCATTTATGATATCACCATACAAATTCATCTGAAGTACTTACTTGCTCTACCCAGATAGAAAACACAAATATGTAGGTCTTTGCCTGTGTCAGTTAAAGGCATGGGTCCATCCCCTCAATAATGGTCCTTGTTCATAGAGGACTTGGAAAAATCTAGTGTTCTTTTAATTATTATTATATCCCTGTGATATACCATAGTTCTTTGTCATATTCCTTATTTTTAACTCTTCTACTTCCATAGATTTTAAGCAGTTTCAAGGAAAGCCACAGATGTCCTAGGTATTTCTTTTCAAAGAATCTAATGAAACAAAGATGTAGCTGATGAAAACGGAAAGAGCTGTATGTAGGTCAAGGACTGTACCTGGGACCTTCCTAATAACCAAGTCAAAAAGAGAAAGGTGAAATACACACATCTGTTCATATGACATGAGAAAGGCTTGGGGGAGGAAGAAACTTCCTCTGGCATCAGAGTCCAAAGAGACTTCTGCCAGAGTCCACCCAGGACAAGGCTGTCCAACCTGGGCAGCAGCAGCACACCAAGCCCCAGGGAGTGGGTGGGGAATTCTCAGCCTGCCCACACCTCGCTCAGTGTTTCTGGATCACTCTTGCTGTGTTCAGGGTTATTCTTTATTATTTGTGTTAACTTCAAATTTTACGGCACTGCAAAATAAAACATTAGGGTACATCTGGATTCAGATAACAAGCTGCAAACCTCCAAGATTAAGAAAAAAAAAAACACTGATGGCAAGATATAGAACTGTTTTGCTTCTTATTCATCTTTGCATGAGTTTCTGATTATTCTATTGATTTTTCTCAAGACTGCTAACATTTTGTAACTAGAAGTGCATTTGGGGTATATGAGAGCTCCACATCTATTAACAAGTTTCTTGCCCCCCCAAAAGCAGCATTTTAAAATATATTTTTTCTTTAAAAAATCAATAAATCATTTCAACTGGCTTTAACAGAGATCAGACAAATAAAATCAGCTTTTATTTTATTAGGGAATTGACATTTTCGGCTCTTACCTGAGAGAGTAATATGAGCTTTGTCAGACCTTTTGTAGATTTTGGAATTTTTATGTAACAATGTTTTCTATAACACTGATGGTAGTTGCCCAGGGATGGAAAACTCTGGCCGGATTTCCCTTTTCTGTTCGTCCCAGTTAGTGGACCCAATTACAAGACTGCCTCGTGTTCACCTACACATTCACCCAGGTCCCAGGTCATGTCTCTCCTACTCATTCTTCAACGTCACACAGCCTCGGCCGACTCCCCTGGTCTCGCTGCACTGTCTGCAGATCCTTCCACACCACAAAACACACGAACCCCTACCTTTGATTTGCTCGTCAATCGCATCTATTAGACTGTAGACTTCGCAAGCTTCATGCCTGACAAATCTCTTACAGCTCCAGGGTCAATCCTGGTCCCTCACATAAAGCAGACGGTCAATGGTTGTTTGTGGAAGGAAGGAAGGAGGGCAGGAGGGGGGAATTCCTCACCTCTGAGTACACTTCAGTAAGGACTCCTTCTGTGTGCCTGCAAGCTAAGTCCTCTGCTTAGGTGAGTCATTCTTACAATTCATTACTAAGTTCTTCCACAAGCGTTTACGGATACCGGCTTTAAAGAGGCATTTTTCTAGTGGTCACTGTTATGGAGATGCTGATTATTACAGGAATGGAGGCTGATCTCCTGGTGTCTACATTCTAATTAGAGAACATA